CATCAAAATTGTCGAGAGCTATTCATTGGTCAGTTGGGCAAAGAGAGAGGATGTCTCCCGGGTTGACCAAAAATGCTTATCATACAAATCTCATAAATGGGCAATTTCTTTTCATACAATTTCATACAATTCCATTCCTACAGAAAACTGTATGAAAACTCTATATAAAAACATTTTCCCATAAATGGAAATTCAATAATACGTGTTTTCTCCATAAATCAAAAAGTTGTTTTTTGTTTCTAAATTTTTTTTCTGGAAAACTTTGGGTTGTGTTTGCAACCGAACACAAGTGACAAAGACCTTGGTTGCTCAAAGCACCAAAGGTAGGATGGTCTTACATTTACAATGCATAAAAAACCGCCTGAATTGTCTTCCAGATGTTTCACAAATTATGATTTTTGATTTTTCAAATTATCAGACATTGATCAAGGCATACATAAACAAGCCATACAAAAGATGTAGAAATTTTCAGCGTTTTTTTTTTTGCGTACAAAATGATTTTTTTTGCGTACAAAATTCGATTTGCGGTTGAAAAAAAAAAACAAAAAAAAAATTTTTGGCGTTAATTTTCAAAATTACATGAAAAATTTTTGTGTCGCCATCAAAAAATGCCAGTCATACAATTTCCATATATGAAAATTGTATGGAAAGCATTTTTTTCAAAAAAAAAATATTTTAAATCAATTTTTTTTTGTCATCAGTCTGTTCAACTGTTCTCAAAAAGCCGCAGAAATGGTTTAATTTTTTTCTATTGTTTTTCGAAAATGTATGAAAATTGTATGACAATCATTTTCTCCATACACTTGATGTATGGATTTGTATGATAATGATTTTTGTTGTATGGAATTGTATGATAAGGATTTTCGGAGTATGGAGGTCAACCCGGGCTGACAGAGCGATGGAAATGATGTCCTCCGAATTTTTGTTCGTTGCATCCGAGGGATTTGAGGGATTTGGAGTCTTCATGATCGTTCGTTACTCGGTTGGGAAAAGTGATCCATCATGATGGGGTCTTCTCTAGATCCAGTTGATTTGTGTCCTAGATAAACAGCCTGTTACGATAAAATTTTGGTGGGTCAACGTTTCTAATCGATCTACATAACAATGTTTCAATACCGTTGGAAACGTTTGCCTTTGGTTCTATTGTGGCCTCGTCTGAAGAGTTGGATATCTCGTATGCCAGAAAAATCACTGTGGTTTCGGTTGGGTATCTCGGCGGAGTTGAATCTGATGGAATGGTGAAAAATTTGCACTCATGTGTTGTGATCGCTGAGATCAAAACTTCATTGCGTCTCGTCTTTGCGTATGCCGATAAGACAATCCGTGGTTTCATTTTCCAAACTGTCGTTACATTCGACAAAAACCTCAGATCTTACGTTATTCAGGCAGGAAGGCGGATCATTGATGGCTTTGAAGGGTTCTAACTCGTTAGTGTGCTCCATTATATTACGTTCCATAACCACGCCTGTACATAGGAAACCTTCGTCTATGTATTCCCATCACTACTATCTGACATATCCGAAGGAATAAAAATGAAATAGTCTCAAGTTTAAAAACCTGTGCTGGGAGTTTTTTTTTCTTCGTGCTTTTTGCCTTATTATGAAAATAATTCGAGGTCATTGTTATTATGCTGATGTTCGAAGAAGACAGCTCGATACCCTTTCTGGTTTTGGGGCCTGGTCTTATGTTTTCCTTGGTAAAAGCTAATTTCTTCTGGGTTGTGCGCTTTGTACCGACTTTAACATTATGATTACAAAAATACGAAAGCACAATTATCCCCTTGAAGGATCGAATATGAGCAAAGTTGAATTTTGACAAAACGATTTCTAAGTTTTTGATAATTTTTCCGTCGAGTCGTTCAACTGTAAATTTTCTTGAGTAATAGTTTTCTGATACATTTTCTCGAAGAAAAAATGTTCATAAAAGCTTTATTTTGTCTGCCGAAGTGGGTTGCCTTCAAAAGGACTCTGGAAAGGGATCATTGACAAAGAATGTTTTGAGGGAGGCGGGTATTCCGATTCGTATCCCATTTCTGGAGGTAAGTGTTTCTTTTTCGGAATCAGTTTGTCTCATACCACTCCTCGAATCGGTCGTCGGCGTTCCAGTCCGGTGCTATCTCCTTGATCAGTGGTTTTAATTTTCAAATCTAAACCTTAAAGATAGTTTTTGAAAAAATCCACTGCACAAACAACCCCTGAAAGCTCTTGATTGTTTGTAAACTTTTTAGTTTCATGAGCGATTGAAAAATAGAGACAAATGAAACGATCTTCCGATAATTCCCATGAAGTTGTTCAAGGGATGCATTGTGTCTACTATCTGACGCGTCAGCTTTTTTCGCGCTTTTGGTTTAAAACAGAAGTAAGTTTTTCCTTTAAATTCAAGATATTTTGTTTTTTACCCAAATGACTATGTGTGACTATCGTTTCATTCGACAAAATTTTTTTTTTTTTCGATAGAAAGTTCTATGAGCTTCTCAGACTTGATAAGTTGTGCGTTGAATTTAACATATTTGTTGAACCAAAGAACGATCCTAATTCTTTGGGATTATCTAGGATAGGTATAACTTTTTTCTTTGTGTTTATAAACCATTTGAGAGAACCTTATTTTCGTAATCTTTAATCCGGGCCATTTAAATTTTTCCACAAAAAAATATCGTTTTGACCAATTAACAACGAAATTGTAATTGCTAAGGATAAAGTTTTATAAACAGTGTTTTCGTGATCTAAGAAGCTTCTTTTGGAAACATTTAAAATATCATGAAGGTAACGTTTTATAAGCGGGATTGTTCCGATAGTTGATTCATGACCCTCTGAAGTTTTTTCACCATGTCCCTTAAAATACCGTTATAAACTGGTAACTTCAGTAATTTTGCCACCTTTGCGCTCAAACTGCGTTAGTTGCTGATAAAATCATCTAAGTAAAGTAGGCTTAGGAGTTTTTCAAGTCTAAGTTAGTAAATCAAACTTCTCCAACAGAATCATTTGAGATTTGTGCGGCATTGTTTTCTTTTGTTCTCGTATGTTTAGCTTTTAACATTTGTTCTTGATTTGCTGTTGATTGTCTAAAGCTAGTTCAATAATTTTTAAATTTATTTTATACTGGTGATAATGATTGACTGATAAATCTATTTTATTCACAGTTTTCCTGCTTTTAGATGATTCCTTCGGATTTGAGTCCAAATAGTTCAGATTCGACTGGTTCCAATACGCGCAGGGAAAGCAGTCAAACTTTTAAATGAAATAATTTACGCGGCTTGTTAAAATCTGTATTTTTTGTCTGGCTATTGAAGTTTCCAATCTGAAAGAAAAAACTGTTTGGGAGGCCCGAAGATGAGCTCAATTTTATCTGTCTTTTCCGCCGGAAGCCGGAAAAATTAATATTTTTAGACTTATTGAATTTTTTGATCTGGAAGTGAGGAAAGCGTTTGCGGGAGGCTTCACTTCACTCTTTTGGCAAGTTATCATTTCCAGTCTTAACCTTCTCGTGACCATCGGTTCAGAAAAAATGATATTTTTCATAAAACCAATCGTTTGAAAAAATTGGGGATCACTAGTTTGACTTTGATGTTCATGGCGTTGTCGGTAAAACCGCAAAACAAGTCTTTTGTCGATTGATCCAGCGTTATAAAATTAAAAACAAAGGCCTGGTAATTTCAACTTAAGAAGGTCTTTCCTCTTAAGAATGCTCACAGGGTTAGTTTAGTCCATTTTTAGTATCAGATTTATTTGATTTTTCTTTTCGAGTCAAATTTCAAACTGTGTTTTGAGTAAATTGCTGTCCTTGTCAAAAATTCAAGTAAGCTTTAGTATAGAGTCATTATGCTCTATTCAGATTTTGACCATGCGTTTATCATTCAGCAACGTTTTCTAATGAAACGGCCGCTCTTTCTATGCCGTTGATTCGAAGCATTATTAAAAGCATATTTTATCTAAAGTTTGAGTATTCATATTAATTTCAGTTTTACATTGAAACTAACTTTTTTTGATATTGTGAGCTCTGTACTTATGTGATGCACTTTTTGAACCTTTCTCTACTTAGCACCTTTTTATGTCGGGAGAACTGCTAAGTGTCCTTTGGAGAAGGCACCGTCGCATTTCAGACATGTAATACGGCCGATAAGTCACATTTTTCGCCATTTCAGCTAAGACTCTTAACATTGTTTCAAAGAATCTCTGTCTCGTTGTTTTCTACTCACTTTTGTGCCTTTCAAGTGTGACATTCGTTTTTCCTACAAAAGATATGGATAAATTTCGAAGGATATTTACTCCTTTGAATTTCTGACCGACAACTTTTTTTGTTTCATTTCCGAGAGCGAGATACAAAATAGAATAGAGTTTTTTGTCTGCTGAGTCAATCCTCATTCGGTCCAAAACTTGGTCTCGGTCTTGATAAATGCTTTTCCTTCGTCGTCAAAATTTTATGTTCGCCGATACTTCTCTCAAGCTCCACTGTTTTCTTAGTTTATGTTTCGCCATTTGTCGGATTCTCAAGTGCGGGAGGTTTTAGAAGGTGTGTTTTAGAAGGTGTATTTTAGAAGGTGTATTGGGTTAATTAGATTCTCGATACCCAATTGTTGTTTTTTTGATCACCCTTAGTTGAAAATGATTGATCCACTGTTTGCTGCGCCTTGATCGTAAAAACTCAAAAAGGTAAGGTGTGAATTAATCTCAAAATTAAAACATTAAAAAGTGACAAAGCAATCGCTCTACTGAGAAATTGAATATATCAAGGTCAAAACAAAAAAAGACCCGTTTTGTAACTAAAACTGAAGTGAATTAAGGAAAACAAAAAAATTACAGCAACCGTATTTTCTGCTGCAATTTTTTTTCATTTATCTTAAGTTCTATTATAATTGTCAACTAGATGTACGAGCGAAGAATTAATCAGCCGGTAATAGAGTATCACCATTACATAAAAAAACACAATTACTGAAAACAATTAACAAACAAAAAGCTAATACATGAAAATAGCTTGAACGATATGAAATTACCATTTTTCAGGAGCAGATGGCAATTTGGTTCTATGGTTTGGACCGATAAACCGATACTGCAATGCATTCGTTCTCTACTATCAGGGACATTGTCAAAATGCCATGGAAGGGACAAAAACCAGCGAGTATTCTGTTGGAATCTGATCTAAACTACATTTTATGATTGGATAAATTAGATATTTTACCAATGTAAAGTATTTAATATTAACCAATCATGATCCATCTAACTAACAACCCACTTATTTGTAAGTGCTGAAGTTACTTGTAATTTCAGCACCAGAGAGATTTGAATTTAACTTAGAAATTAGTTGGACTCTCCCGAGCACTTCAGCAGCCGCAATAAACCAGTATACCCTAGATCTATTGAGCCTAGCAGAGACTAGTTAAACAACCTGAGACTAGATAGTATAAGAGTAAGATTAGGATCGGTATTAGACTAAGAAGTTGCACGAATCTATCCGGCCGAAAATAAGATAGCGTGACGAGCAGACGGTGTACCCTATCCGAAATTACTCTATGAGTTATACACCCCAGTCCTAACTCATCTGGTGCGACCATAAGTCTCGAACAAGACCTTAAAAGCTTAGAATTAACCAAAATAGATTAGAAATTAGACAAAAACATTTACAAAATGTTATACGACAATAATTTAATCGAAATGTCTCTACGACTCAATAGATCAGAGCCAATATTCCGAACCATAACAGAACTACCCGGAATTGGAAGAAGACCTCGAACCAGAGACGACATACGACAAAGTAGAAACTTGCCATATAGCTATATGATAGTTAGGCAAAAACCAGAACAAACTTTTATATTTAGAATACTACTGGCAATGAATTTAGATTTTCATTTGCAAACATAAAACCTTGAAGTTAATCTTCAAAATCATTTCAGGCGCTAAACAAAATTATTAATATACAATAACGATTGATAAAAAGATCTAAGATCGTTTTCCTAAAACTCTGCAGTAATATACAAAACATGTTTGAAAAATATTTATTGAAAAATAAAAAATAAAAATTAGTAGCATGACAATAAATGGTTAGTAATCATAAATCATCCTGTTGTTCCAGCTCCATCACCTAAAACATAACAGCAATCATAAAACCACTAATATCATCAAAACACTAAATCTTTCCTTTACACACATTTAAAATTTTATTAAAACTTAAATTCACTTAATTTTAAAACCAGATCATCAAGGCTTATCCTTGGATCTTAAATCATTTTCTACTTAATTAAATTTCAAATTTGATCATCAAGGCTTATCCTTGGATCAAACAGAACAACTTTGTTCTCCCCCACCCACTTAATTAGTGTCTAACGACCTCAAACGTCGATTCACTACCCAACCCTTTCTAAAGACCTAAGACTAATAGAAATTTTTAAACAAAACTAATCATTCAAATTAGGATAAACAGTGAAGAACTTCGGTTATTCATCCTTCACTTGACCCCCCCTCTTAACAGACCCAGGATAAATCTTAGACTTAGTAAGTTTAAAATAGTATCTAACGAACTACTCGCGTTCTAATTATACCTGAACCTTGTGGATCGATTTACTATTCTCCAACCCTTGAACACAATCACTACCCCTAAGTAAGATTAAGTAAGTTAACACCTTAACTTATACTAGCCACGAGAAAGTAAAAAATCATTCTTCGGAATCGATATACTTTTCTCTCCAACCCTGAACAAATAGACCCAGGTTAAGCTAACCAAAAAATCGTAAGAACTAACAGTTTAGGAAAATAGAAATCATTTAACAACCTTTTGCATCCGTCATCCTAAACCTTATGTCATTTAAAAACCTAGGAAATAAACAAACAATCGTTTTACACAATTGTGAAATAGATAACAAAAAATACGACCTTGTAATCACACCTCATACACAAACAGTTGGATACATTCGAACAAAACGACAAACACTAAAAAGAAAAATAATAACGAAACAAAGACAAATAACACGAAAAAGATTTTCAAAAAATCGAAACGCATTTTCAGAATCAGAAACCAACAGTTTAGACGAACTTTACAAACTAAAAGAATCAATAGATAAAAATTGCCCACTTCACGATCAATTATATTTTTCTGACTCAGAAACAACTTCAAATTCATCAAAAAGAGGAAAAAGAAGAATAAAAAAGCAGTATAAACACAAACCAGTACATTTATACAATTGGAATCAACCAATTCGACACATTAATAATTACATATTAACAGTCATCGAACGAAAAAATGAGCTCAACGCACACCCCAGGTGACGAAACCCCAGATGATGATGAAATCTTTCCTTTTATAATAGATGCAACCACTGATAGAGGACAGCATATATTTTGCAAAAATTTACTATTAAATTTATTTGAACCCGGAATCAGTCCCTGTAAAACAGAGTTCCCAGATGTAAAAATCAAAAGACAAATCATAGACCACTACTTAAAAGATATATGCAACATAACACAACAGTATGGAATCTACTCCATAGAATTCACCTCACCAAACCATAATAATAGAAAATATACAATTCAAACAGACGATCTTGATTTAGAATTTTCAAAAGTTTTTTCAGAATATATAAAAAGCATCCAATATCATAACTCACAAAGAGCAAACTCCATATTCACCAATGAAGTTTTCGCAATAATATATAGTTATATTTCGATATTAGAAAACGAAATCCCAATAACAAATGTCTCACCGACAGAAACATCTAAACATTTAAGAGTACGACATGAAATCACACTACTCTCTAGTTATTTAAACATCATTAAAGAAAATTTCACGAAAGACGACGTTTCACAACATACAAAACACGATCTACAAAAAATTTTGGCATGGTTCATAATAGATTATTTCACACACAATATTGATTTAATTGCACAAGCAAGAAAAAATTTTAGACCCCAAAACTCGAACGATGATACCGCTATCACAGAACAATCAGATTATGTTTGGGACCCCGAATGGTCTCATTTAGCATTTATAAGCTTCCCACAATCAATCTCAAGTCAAGCAATAAGTACGATATCTTACATAAGAGATTATGTAAAAATATTACCATTCACCATTGATGCAACACCATTAAACTATAATACATTTTTGCCCGATACACAAAATAATAGTTTAAACTCTACAGTCATGCACAATGAAAACCTCAATGGAACTAGGAATCTTACTCAACAAGATATCCAAACACCATCACACTTCATAAATGAAGAAATTGTACACACAACAACTACACAACAAAGTATTTCACCAATACGCCCAAATTTAACAACACCAAGAAATACAAATCTTTCACAAACACAGGTAACCTTACAATCAACCGTTAAACCTTCAGTTGCCCCTAAATATTCACATATGGATTACCAAACATACAGACCCATGACAATACCATCAAAAACACGCAAAACATTCACTAGAAACAACTTTACAGACCATAATTATAATTATACACATCCATCAAAAACATATAATCAACCACAAAGAAATTTTAACCAATATACAAGATCTCGAAATTGGGATAACCCAATGACCCAACCTAATTCAATAAATTTCCAAACAAATCCTCCACAGGATCACAGTGAAAATTACCCATTTTTTCAACAAAATAAAAATAAAAAACAGACATCTTATCAAATGGATTATTTATCCTCAGATGATGATTTCTTACAACCAGATATATTTGCACCAAATACTCAAGAATATCGTAGACAAGGACTACAGAGAACACGTACAAATCATAGAAATTTTTCTCCACAACCAATAGATGCACAACATCAACAACCAATTCAACAACAAAATCTAATTAATACACAATCTTTTCAACCAATTCAACAACAAAATCCAATGACTGCACACTCGTATCAACCATCACAAATGCAAAATGAAATACCACTCCCATATTATCTCCAACAACATGAAATAACAAGAAACCAACTTTCAAATTTTTCTCAAATGCCAAATGCAGCAGAATCATTACAAATGACAATGAATCCATACCTTATGGGTGGATCATCAATAACATCAAACAAACCTTTAATGGTTTTCACAGGAACAGACCCTGAATACTCTGTAGAAGATTATTTAAATGCAGTAACAGCAAACCTGATTTTGAATATTGGACCTGAACCAATTAATACGCCACTACATCAAAACTGGATACATCGACGCACAGCGTTAATACAAACAACCTTAGATGGCGCAGCCCAAAAATGGTTTTCAGTACTACCTCTAGAAATAAAATCAAACTGGAAAAGGTTTACACAGGAATTTTCAAAAATGTTTGACTCCGAAAGAAACAAACAACAACAAAGAGTTTTATGTAATGAAATTCGCAGATTACCAAACGAAACCATCAAGCAAATAGCAGTACGAATCGAAACACTAGTTCGAAAAGCATATTCATTAAATACACATGACTATAAAAACACAAAGATGACAGAAATCTTAATGATGACCTTAACACCACAATTAAGGAAAATAGCAATAAAAAAGAGAGCATCCCATCCTTCTTCAATTCGAGAACCCGATTTAGATTTTCGAAAACTAGTAGACAAATTAGAACAAGCAGAAATCACGATGAAACTAGAAGAAACGGAAAATCTGAAATTACAATACGTTAACAGAATTGAAACGACTCCCACTAATATTAATAATATACAGGAATCAGAGACAGACCTCGTTGAAAAAATCACTGAAATACTCAATATTTACGAAAAGAACCCAAACTTTAAAGGCAAACCATCTTTCAAAAAATGGTGTAATTATTGCCGACGATACGGACATAGTATTTCCGAATGTAGACAAAAACAGCAAGACAATCAAAATAAACCTCAAAAATATAAAGAACCAAATAAATCATTCCATCAATACATGAAAAAAGATCAAAACCTACCGAACAAAACAGTCTACAGCAACAACAGTTCAGGAAAACCACCCCCGAACAATACAAATTATACAAGAAATCAATCACCATATAACTCAAGTTATAGAGGAAGATCACCAGAACGAAGAAACACGCATAATTCATCACAAAATCACTACAATAGACCAAATAGTCGAAATAACTACTCCAGATCACATTCAAATACACAACGATTTGTTTCTAGATCTAATTCCCAATC